GCGCGGCCATATTAATATACTTGACTCGTTTAATAAAGGTGTAACGAGGTTTGCTCGTACGGTAGACTCGATTATGTCGATGCATCTTCCCAAATTGATTATTTACCGCACATTCATTCGGTAAAGGCAGTTCCATCGATTCGCAGATTGGTTTATTCATCGAGTGATATCGTACCAAATTGTCGAGTTAAATATGGGATTCGTGGATGTTGCGTTTTAGACTCTGGAGGGCCGTGTGTATGAACCGGTGCGCATTTTCGATGTACTCTGTGAATCGATACGTACTATATTAGATTGTCCGGAAATAAATTGCGGTTTTTAACTGTGTTATATTTAGAATCGATAATGTTATTTTAATAGAGGTGCGTGCTATGGATTATTGGCTGGGTTATATCGTTCCTTGATATAATGATTAGTGGATAGATTAATTAGCAAGTTTGAAAAATTAATTATTCTTGTTGGAACTGTGTTCGATTCAGATAAATAATGATTAAAAAATATCATTCAGCAAATTCAAGGAAAAATATTAATTTTTCATGTTAGTATTAAACGTAGTTATATTTATATTTATATACAAATGCAAATTTTGATAGAAAATTGATAATGAAGTGGAGCCTCTAGATAAAAACTTGTTTTATCTTTGGAAAGTTTTAACCGTACATTTTGCATATTTTTTCCCCGAAAATATATGCAATGGTATGGTATTTGCATATTTTATAAAATTATTTCTCGTATCCATTTCATATCCTTCGTTCAACGAACAAATTTTACCAACCATTTAAAAAAAAAAAAAAGAAGGAAAACATATTCTTCGTGTCGAATAATTGTCGCTAATTAATTCAATGTAATTACGAGAAAAAAAATTTGTGAATGTCATTTCCGATTTTAAACAGAAATTCTAATTTTAATATTAGTTAATTATCCGGTGGATCAGATTGGCGAAATTTGGGGAGATAAAGTTATCGAGAAGCAATCGAGAAGTTAAACAGCGCTATACTAAAATAAATTTAAATTTGCCTCCGTTATAGCAGAGAGAGAGAGAGAGAGAGAGAGAGAGAGATATTAGGTAATAAATAAATTTAAGCCGATAAAGCTTTTTAATTAACTACGGTTAATAACAGGAGGAGATAAATATAATTTGTTACATTTTAAATTATAATCTTAATATTTGAATTTCAAATAATGGAGATTTTATTATTTTATCTTTGGTTCTCGATATATATTTATCGCATATACGATATATTCTTTACATATTTTAATGTAATGTATATTTGTTACCTCATGTACGATCGTATATCATATTCATCACATTACATCTATCCGAGTTTGCATATTTTGACATATTTCATAAATGTCTAATTTATATTCCTTCAAAATACTGTCGCTATTAAAATCATGTCAAAATTCTTGAAATATTACATCTATAATTTGCATCTAATAATTCATTATTTTAAAATTGGAAACGAGATTGCGAGAATGATTTTATACCGTAAAAATTTTTAATATGAAATCTAATATTTATTAAAAATAATATTTTTAAATTTAATATTCCGTAGCTTTTGGACTCGTTCAATTAATTATTAAATTTACTGTTAATTCTTCAGTGGTAAATTTCCATTTTACTTCATTTGATAAAAATACGAATTTTTCATTATTTAAACCCGGTGCCCAGTTCACGTACATCGACACGAATTACAAATTTAAAAACATTAATTCAATTTGATTCGCAATCTTCACTTTTCGAGAGAATTCTTTTCACATTTATTACCCTCCATTTAATATCCTCGTTTTAATTCGCATTTATTCCCTATCACGGGGGGATAAAGGATACAAATCTCTTCTATCGTTACAAAGGATGCGTCATGTTACTATCCGATGTACAGAGTAATGCAATAACATTGAAAATGTAAAACATTTTTCTCAATTTCCATCCTTCTTTTCTCTATACACTCCTATATCCTTCCTTTGCAACATCGTAAATACGACGCGACCGTGGTAGGGATAGGCAAAAAACTACGAGGCCAAAGCTATTTTTCTCTCGAAAATAAAGTCCACGCTCGAACGATCTGCGTACGCGTTTTTTCGCTTGCGACCTCGTGGCAAGACGTTGCTCTTTACGATCGATGTCGCGTGCCAAAAAGCAGAACAAAGCGTCGTAAATACGTAAATTTTCGTAAATGAACTCGAATCATCGATGAATCATGGATAAGTAAATTGAGGTGCATAGTAATTTCGTTCCATCTATTGTTTTCGAATTATTATGTAATAATACGTAATAATATCGTATTTTCGATAGAAGTAAAAATTTATAGTTGGTTAATATTATTCCAAATAAATTGATATTACCTGTACTTTCAAATAATATTTCAAACAAGATGATATATTTATATTTTCAAATCTAGACGAAGTAAATAAATCAATTTGAATAAAATTCTTTTCGTTTCGAATAAAACTCACTTATCTTATCACGCATTCTCTTATAACGTAATATTTTTCCTATTTGTATATCGCGAAAAATTGTAATTTCTATTTCCTTCGTTCTTTTTCGTGTTAAACCGAATTAAAATAATCGTCATGGAGGATTGCAACGATCGATGTCACGTGTACAAGGGCGGAAAAACGCCGGTCTTTACGGGATATCGAGAAATTTCGGTAATCGTCGCCGGTAACCTCGTTCTAGGCGGTTTCCGCTTGCGAAAGCTTCCGTTTGTCGGTAATCGAATCGAGCCTTGAAATTAGATTCTTCGTGGATAGATTCGATTCGCGACTAACGGCTGTGTTAAAAAGGAGAGAGGGAGGGGGAAAAAAAGATGCTCTTTCTAGAATTAATTCGATTCTGGTCATGATTTTTCTTCGTGATTGAAATTTAATTAAGCAAAGTTGTGCAAGTTTCTAATTTGTTTATCAATATTATAGAATTAAATATTTTTAATAATACGTGTTTTGATATAATGTATAACATTATATTAAAGAAAGTAGTACTTTTATTATAATATTTTTTAGATAACGTGTTTCTCATACGATGTTGATGATAATTTCAATTTCATTTTAAAAGTTAAAAGCACATATTATAAAATAGGATAATTATGCCTCTTTTAAAAATAAGTGAAAATGAAGAGAAGAAGATATAATTTTTTTTAAATTAATATGTCATTGTCTTCTTTTTTAATTTCAAATTCAAATTTAGATTCTTTTTTAAATGAATATGGTTATGTATGTGGTTTCATAATGGTTTTTCTCATTTGTGAGATTTAATCAAAATTAAGATTTTTCTAACTATTAATTATTATTCGAATCAATGGAAATCAATAGATGAAATGTTGAAAATACAATTTTTTTATGAATATAGTATTCTTAATGTTTTTTAAAATGAAACATTATTGCAAATGTAATTTTTAATTTTCATTTCATTTCTGATAATCTGATATTTATCCTTTTCTTGATTTTTAATCAATTTTAACTTTTAATTACAAACTTATTAACATCCATAAATATTCCATCACAAAAACTTGATCAAACTAATCAAATAAAAAATATTTCTCTTCTCCCTTCATTTGAATAATTCATTATTTAATTATCCCCTATACAAATAATTGATAAAACCCTAAATTTTAAATTTTACAATATCCTTCCCACAACAATGATAAATAATATCGAGACAAATTATCAAAAATCAAACAAAAAAAAGAAAATAATTATTCAATCATTCCATCGAATACCTAATAATTAAATTTAAAATTTCCACTTCAAATTCCAAATTCTTAAAAAAAAAAAATTATATCACTTACAAATAAATAAAATACAATCCTAATCATTAATCCTCTTTTCAATTTATATATAATCATTATAAAAAGTTAAAAAAAAAAAAAAAAAAAAAAAAAAAAAAAAAAAAAAAAGAAAAAAGAAAAAAACGAAATCGAACAAGGAATCCTTCTCTCTCTCTTTCTCTCTCTTTCTATCACACTCTATCCCAATATTTTGATATTTGCTCCTCTGTATCTGATAATTGAGTTGAATTACGGCATACGCATGTTGAATTATCCTCACGTAACGTAAAACCCCATGACGTGCTGATGGTACGCCACATCCGCTCCGACGCCGCACACAACTGGAACAGAAAAACACGAGTGGAAGGGTTGAGAATCCGTGTGCCATCCGTGTGAGCGAATACGAATTATATTTTTTTTAATTGGATACAATTCGTCGACGACTTGAATCGTATCGAACGACTCATCGTTTCTTTCTTTCGTTTTATCTTTTTTTTTTTTTTTTTTTTCAAGGCGAAATACGAATTT